TGGCTACACAGCCCAGTCTAATGTGGTAGCTGTAGTCCAAACAATCTGCCACTGAGAGGCCCTGCTGTGTCCCTGTCCCAGGGCTGAGCTGCAGCACAAATGGAGGAAGGAGGAGGAGATGCACTTTGAAAGAACACACACCAAAAAGCAATAGTGGAAAGAGCAGGAAGAAAAGCAAATGTATAAGTATACAAGCATTTCAGCACTGAAAGATTAATGACAGAAATTAAATATAAGTAGCAAGTAATTGTTACAGTAAGAATGAAGTCCAACATCAGAGCAATTTCAATGAGATTAATGACAGTAATAACATTACCATGTAGCTTTGTACAAAGAACTAAACTGCTCCATCTTAATTTTCAATACTATAATGAAAAGCTGCCTGAGAAGTTTTTATGGTATGTATCAAGAAGATTGCATCTCCAGCTTCCTTGTTAGGCAGATTAACCACCTACTGCTCAACTGCAAAGTGGCCAAAAGCAATCTCCTCACTGCCTGGGTCCTTCTGGGATAGGAAGGAATATCATTTCATCCCAGGTTGGCAATTTGAGATCAGTATTTAAAAAGTAAGACTTGTTTTCTGTAACTGAAATATTGTTTAATGTTAAAAAACAAACAAACAAACAAGCCCTAACACCATCGCTGTGTGTATGCTGTGTTGGTGTTAAAACAAAGCATACCCTGCAGCAAATCTGCCATCTCTTAACCATCTATATTTGAGGTCTTCATTGCTGAGTACTCTTGTGTGTCAAAGCGAAGAACAGAACTTTCACCAAAATAACTTGAATTTTACCAGAATTTATACTCTTAAAGATGTATTTTTGGCTCAGTTCTGCAAGACAGAAGATTTCTCTGTTGTTTCTAAGCAACAATATGACAAGAACACCACAGTTCACAAGAAACGTGCTCCTGTATCATACAGGCAAGTGATACGAGGAAGACAATACAGTCTGCTCAAGAGGTGTTCCAAACATCTTGGTCTCTACAGCAACTGTGAGATTAAGCCATAAAATCTGAGATGTCAACACATTTTTTAAACAGCAATTAGCTAAGTAACTATCAGAGGAACAAAGGATTCTTTAGGCTCATTTAACAAATGCATCTCTAATTCCCCAGGAAAAAGAAAAGTTGATGAAGAAAGATGTCTTGGCAACAAAGTCTTATTTCTACTTCAGTTAGCAAAGCAGATCTTAAACCAGAATTGCAGTACGTACCACCATTTGTGCAAAATATCTTACAGAAATTGCTGTCACTACTCTGTGGTTCCTTAACAGTAAAAACAAATTGATTCATTTCCAGCAGGAGAAAGACAAACGGAAAGATTCCCTGAAAAAAAAAAGCTATTTGCTGTAGAGCTTCAGCCATTATCCCTACGTGCGCCAACAACGGAGAAACTCAAATGTTTTCTTTAAGCATTTATTATCCTCTCTCTTGTCAGGAAAGAAAACTCCAAGAAGGGGGCATACATCTGAACGTCTCAGGGGAAAAAAAATACATTATTTTGGAGGAAAAAAAAAAGAAAAAAAGACATTTGCCCAAGAATTCATTCAGCACGTGAAAATGAAGAACGCGGTTATTGACACAACGTGAAACTAATAATTCACAGCCCAAGGGCCATCCAGCACAGCATCACTTTTCAGATGGCAGGGAAGGAACAGGTACTCAGGACAGCCTGCACGCTGGCCATGTTTTCTTCACCGTAAGTCACCTCCCTACCTTGGGCAATTTCAGTGCTTCCATTCATGCAGAGGATGCATTGTTATGTTTAACAGCCTTTAATGGATTATTATTTCCTTTTTTTTTGCATGCAATTGCTTTTTGAAGCTGTGCCAGTTTCTGGCACCTACCTCATGTAGCAACGTGCTCTGTGATTTAGCTACGTGCTGCCTGGGAGGTGCAGTACAGCCTTTGTTTTAGAACTGTTAGTTGATAATATGAGAACTAAAGAGTATCAAATGGATGTAGAAAAGAAAGAGATTCATCATTCTTTACTCATCCCCTCTGTGCCATCTTACAGTTTTATAGATCATTATTACGTCTTCTTCCAGACGTTTTCTTCCCAGATAGAAGAAATCCTACCTTCCTTGGTTACTCACTATAAAGAGATACAGAACAGCTTTCACATGCTCACTGCATCCCTACATAAAGCCCACTAACACATAATACAAACCTGTCAGTGCTAACACAAAGCACAGACACTTCTCAATACTCCTTAGAGATGGAAGCTTCAGCCAAGATGCAGAGCTTACAAAAATATGAACAAACCATACTTTGTGTCACACAGACAGCAAGGATTTTCAAGATGGGAACATTTCTGTTCTGAGCATACGGGAGTCACACATGCTTGACTGCTTCTTTTTAAATGAGAAGAAAGGAACAGATAGCTGAAAGAGTGTGATAAGAGGCAGCCTGCTCACAAGAGGTTTTTGTTTATAGAGGAAACTCACCTTCGTTGTAAGGCACTGGGTTGCCAACAGTCCCACCAACCATATCAGCAGTTTTCAGGACATCTAAATCCATCAGTATAACCACTCTCCTACAAACACAAAATAGACAGTAATAAAGACTCACCCTCTCTGTAAGTCTATCAGGCTCTGAGTATCCTCCTCGAGCAGATATGAGAACCATCCACTAGGGGCTGATTCTTTGTATAAGGGAATATAGAAAACAAAAGCTCTCCACTATCAATTCAACCTGCTCATGTAGTACAAGACTTGAAAAAGTATCACATTTCACCAAGGACACTGACAGCAGGCTGAATGGGCACACACAAATGCCTTGAAACAACAGCGTTTTAAAAGCATTAAAACCATGCCAAATTTCTTAAGAGAATCCACTCTGCCTTCAAAGTTGTTGCATTTCCTACACAAAAACATGGAATAAAAAAAAAACAGATGCAGAAGTTCAGATCGTGTTCTCCCACACATACATCATTTTCAGACAATCACTTCTCTCAGATCACTTCTTGTTTTACAGTACCTACCTGAGTTCTCTCAAAGTCTCACAAAAGATCAAAGATTTCACACCACGTAACCTTTGCTGCTTCTTTTCCACAGCAGGTAGTTTTAAGTGAATTGAAATGAAGCAGTACAATTTGGAGTATTCCACCTGGAAGCCTTCAATTACTGAGTTACTTTCTGCAAGTGCTTACGTCGTGTGCTTTCCTTCCTGCACTTATTATTTTCAGAAATGCCTAATCAAAAAGATTTGGCCTTCACTTAGTCCCACAGGACAGAGCATCCATTAGCACAGCTGCCTTTGTGTAGATCCACGCTTAAAGAAATGCACGTACCTTCCATCTTTCAAGCTGTTGACAATGAATCTGTTAACCTGGCAAATACAGTGTGCTGATAAACGTTCCTCTTCCACAAGGGGGTTCAGCTGTGTCGCCAGCATGAATGCTACAGGGACAGAAGAACATTAAATACATTAACACATGCTATTAAAGGGGCTGCCCAGTCCCAGTCCACAAGCATTACATTAGATCTACAACAGGCTCAGTTAATAGTAGCACATAGAAAACAGAGTAACAGCTAATAAGTTGCAACCCTGAACATAAATTATGTTGTATTCGTTCCCCAAAATTCTAAGAGTGCAATGACTGATCTCATCAATGTTTATATATATTGAAAGAGTGCGAGCTAAAAGGATGGGACCAGGCTCTGTGTAGTGGTGTGAAGCAACAGGCAAAAACTGGAAAGGAACACAGGAAGCTCCATACAAACGCACAAAAGAACTTCTTTACTGAAGGTGCCAGAGCAATGGAACAGGCTGCCCAGGGAGGTGGTGCAGTCTCCTCATCTGGAGATATTCAAGACCCACCTGGACATTTTCCTGTTCAACCTACTGTCAGGAAACTGCTTTAGGAGGTGGGCTGGACTTGAAGATCTCCAGAAATCCATTCCAACCCCTGTGATTCATAGAATGGTTTGGATGGGACTTTTAAGATCATCTAGTTCCAACCTCTGTGCAATAGACACGTCCCATTAGGTCAGCTTGCTCAAAGCCCTGTCCAGCCTGGTCTCCAAGGAGGGAGCATCAACAACCTCTCTGGGCAACCAGTGCCTCACCATCTTTACAGCAAAGAATTTCTTTCTAATATCTAAACTAAACAATATGATTTCACGATCACGTACTAACGTCAGAAGAAGACTGAGATAAATTACATTAAAAATCAGTGTTACAAAACCACATCTAGAATTGCCTGAGCATTACAATGCAGCTGCACACTTCAGCCAGAGCCTGTGCTCCCCATACACCCTACTTTCTTCAGTAATGGGTTGATTGTTATGGAAACTGACATTACACTAAAGTTGTAGCATCGTTGGCACCACCACACTTACAGACACCTCATACTCACAGGAGAGCGTGTTCACCCCATCGCTCATCAGCACTCGGTACCGAGGAGGCCCATTTCCTGTGGCGATAGCCCGTGTGTTCTGTGGGAAAACACCAGCTCAGCATTTCTTAATTCCTCAAGCCCTTCAAAACCACACCACATTTAGCAACCCCAGTACTCACAATAACTTGCAGCACGGGCTTGCAGACGTTCTCTCCCTGCATTATGGCCTGGAAAAGAGAGGAAGAGCATGAGAACGGTGCCACGCTGCGCTCTGAGACCGAACGCTGAGGGGAAACGGCCCACGGGGCAGCGCCAGGCCTCTCCTCGCACCTTGCCCCCCCCCCCCCGGCCCTCCTCCACAAGCCAAGACATGACGCAGTCCTCACGTTCCCCCCTGAACCTTCACACGCCGGACCCATCCCGGCTCCCTCCGCCTCAGGGTCCCTCACCGCGATGGCGCCTTCACTCAGCCGCCCGCTCATGGCTGCGCTCTGCTCCGCTCTCCACACTCCCCCGCTGCTGCCGCCAAATCCTCCCGCCGCCCCGAGCCGCGCACCTCCTTCCGGCGCCTCTCAGACGTCACGCCGCGCGCGCGCCCAGAGTCGCGCTCCTATTGGCTGCACGGTCGCCGTACGGCGGAAGTACCTTAAGGGAACACAGTGCTACCCCACTGGGCGCCGCCATTAGAAAGTAGAACGGGGAGCGGCCCATGGCGCTGCCGGTGGAGGAGTGGCGGCAGAACGTTGCCCGGCGCTGGGCCGCTCTGGAGCCAGCTCTGAGGGAACGGTTGGCGGCGGCACCGCTGGGCGAGGCGCTACGGGTGGGCTGCGGCCTCTTTGGGTGAGCGGGATGGGAGAGGCAGGGCTGAGGTGGGGTTGGCCGCGGTGCTGATCCCGGTATCCCGCAGGCCCGAGGTGGCGGCCTTACGGCGGCTGTGTGGCCGGGTTCGCACGGACAAGGAGCCGGCGGCCGCTCGCTTCTATCGGGAGGAGGGAAATCGGCGGTTCGGCCGCTGCCGCTACAGCGAAGCCGCTAGGCTGTACTCGCAGGTAGGGGAGAACGCCGGTAAGAGGGACTGGGGTGAGAGTTGCGGCCCCGCCGGGCGCTTCGTGCTCCAAACTGCTGAGGGGTTTCTGTGAGGAGAAGCCCTGGGGTCTGCCCTCCTCCCCCCCGAGTTGTCAGCCCGCTCTGCTCCTACAGGCCGCGGCCCACGAACCTCCCCGCAGTCCTGAGGTGGCCCTGTGCTTCGCCAACCGCTCCGCAGCCCTGTTCCATCTCGGGCACTTTGAGGTAAGTCGGGGCAGCGGTGTGAGCATGTGGGGAACGGGGTAAAGAAGAGTACAAGCAGAATCTGAGGTGTTGCCTCGCAGTGTTTGCATGTCAGATTTCAGGTCGCTGCTCCCGCAAACCCCACAGTGGTGTCTTTGAGAGGCTATAGATCAGCGGCCAGCCGTATCCTGGGTTGTGTCAGCAGAGGGGTGGCAGCAAGGAGAGGGATGGGATTGTCCCCTCTGTTCTGCCCTCGTGAGGCCCTATCTGTTGTGCCGTGTCCAGGTCTGCGGCTCCTGGCTCACAAAAGATTTGGAGCTGTTGGAGCGGGTGCAGAAGGCCACAGGTATGATCAGAGGGCTGGGGAACCTCTGCTACAAAAACAGGTTAGGGAGCTGGTCTCGTTCAGCCTAGAGGAGAGGCTTAGGAGACACCCGATAGTGGCCGTCCACTTAAAGTGAACTTATAAGCAGGTAGAAAATAAACTTTTTATGTGGGTAGATAGCAATAAGATATGGGGGAACGATTTTAAACTAAAAGAGGGGAGATTTAGATTAGATATCAGGGAAATTTGTCACTGAGAGAGTGGTATGGCCTTGGCACAAGCTGCTAAGAGAAGCTGAAGGTGTGCGACCTGGTGTAGGGAACCTGCTTTGGCAGGGGGGTTGGTCTCGATGATCTCTAGAGGTCCCTTCCAACCCCTACAATTCTCAGCCAGGTTGAGTGTGGTTCTGGGCAACCTGATCTGGTGTCTGATTTAGTGTTTGGCAGCTCTTCCCACAGAAAGGTGGTTGGAGCTCCATGATCTTTGAGATCCCTTCCAACTCGAGCCATTTTAAAATCAGGTGTGCTTCTGAAGCTGTGCTTAAAGCTTCCATGATTATCTAGATGTTGCTGCTTTCTTTCTAGTTCTATGTTAGTTTTATCTGCTTAACAGATAGGCAAACTTTTTGTCCATAGCCAATAAAGAGTCTTATTAAAACGTGCTGAATCTTAAGTGGAATAAAAGAATACATCATTTTCAAGTGGCCTTAGAAGTCCTTATCTTTGTTTCTAGGTTTGTTTGGAAGATATTGCCAGGGCTGAAAGTCATGGCTATCCAGACAGGCTGCTGCCCAAGGTCTTGCTGCGGAAGGCTGAATGCCTGCTGCGTTTGGGGAGGTTACAGGATGCAACAGACACCCTCACTGCAGTGGAAAATAAAATGACTGTAGATGGGATTATGACTAGTTCTACTCACCTTACGCTACTGAAAAAGTTAAATCAGCTGAAGACTGAAATACATCAGGGGAGCTGTTCAGAACCTTCACGAGGAGCACATGGTGATATTCAAAGGGAGTCAGAGATCTGGGAAGAGAATGGCAGTATTTCAGGTGCATCTTCATCTTTGAGCCTGAATTTCAATACAGAGAGAGGACGTCACTTGGTGGCCTCCCAGGACATCCTGCCAGGACAGAACCTGTTGAAAGAGAAGGCTTTTGTCTGTGTGCTCTGCCCAGTTGAAGGGGATAGCCTTCTTCTACAGAACAGCAGTGAAACAGTGTGGGATACTCAAGTCACTAACGCAGATCTTTATTGCCACCGTTGTCTGAAGCAGCTCTTAGCCTCTGTCCCGTGCTGTGGATGCAGTTATGCAAAGTACTGCAGCCAAAACTGTGCAGATGTGGCATGGGAGCAGTACCACAGGACAGAGTGCCCCTTGGGAGCACTGCTGCTCGTGTTAGGGGTCTTCTGCCATGTTGCCTTAAGGACTGTTCTACTAGCAGGATTTTCAGAGGTTAGCAGGCTGGTGGAGTGGTCGCATGATGATAGCAACAAGGACCATTGCAATGCTGAGGCTGGAGGTAAACATCCCAGTGAGGCACTGGATACAAGAGCTGGAACAAAAGGTATCCCTGGTTGTAATGATAATGGCCAGTACCAGAGTTCTTACCGAGCTGTGTTCAACCTTTTGCCACATGTTGAGAAGCATAGTCCTGAACATAAGTTCCTTTGCATGCTGAGTATAGTAGCTGTATGCAAAAAATTGCAAGAAACTGGTCTAGAGGCTACTGTTCTGAACGGGCAGTCATCTACAATGGGATCAGAACAGAAGATGTATGGAAAAACATCTGAGGAACTGTCTCCAGAACTGATGATTGTAGCAGAAGCAATGCTGAGGCACGTGTTGCAGCTACAGTGTAACGCACAAGCGGTCACTGTAATGCAGGAGTTAGGTAAGATAAAAAATTTAAGCTCTTCCTTGTAATTCATCTCATTTGTGTGAAGCAGAGAGTTGTAAAAAGCTCCTATTGCAGAGGGGAAGTAATTGTTTAAAATGTCATGTCCTGTCTCATGTCAGCCTGTTCTTTGGTGCACACATAGATGGTATTCAGCTGTCCTTTACTGTACCAGCTATTTAGTGGTATCTGTAATTGCATAATTTGCATGGGTTACAGAGCATTCATTCTCAATGCAGTGTTTTTTCTTTGTCTTTAGAGTCTGGAGATGGTGCTGTTGTAAATAAGAAGCCTGTGCGCCTGGCTACAGCCTTCTTTCCTGTCCTCAGCCTTCTGAACCATTCGTGCAGCCCCAATATCAGTGTGTCATTCAGTGGGACAGTTGCCACTGTCAGGGCATCTCAGCCAATCCCAAGCGGCCAGGAGATTTTCCATTGCTATGGTAAGTGTTAAGTCTGTGTCTCAAGGCACTGATATCCTTTCTCCCCTCCTTGGCGTGCTTACTGATTGCTAATAATATCATAATTCCCAGTGTAATGCTGCTAGAGTCTTTGTTTATGTATGAGCCTTGACCAGAGGCATCAAACTAAGTATTTCTTATCTGCTGAACCCAACGTGCTTTCAGTCTCCAGTTCTGTGCTATCCAAAAGATGTTGCGTTTTGTCTCAGTTTTAACAAAGATGGATCTTTAGGAACTGTACTTGTTAAGTGCTTTCTACCCTTGCTGTCCTTCTGCAGGGCCTCATCACTGTAGAATGAGGGTTGCTGAGAGACAACAGCTTCTCAGTCAGTATTTCTTTGAGTGCCGCTGTCAGGCATGCCTCGATGAGTTAGAGTCTGATGTCGAGAGTGTGTCCATGAGAAACTCATTCTGCTGCCCTAACTGCCAGGCTTCAATGCAGGTAGTTTTTTGATGGTTATGATTGTTTAACTTTATCAGGATGTGTAATGTTTGGGCCTCTGGGAAAGTCAAGATTTAAAGGCCTGAGTTTATCACCTCTGCTGCGCAAGTAAAAGCCCCTGCAGAGTAAAAGCAGTATTTCACTGTTCTTAACCAGCTTCCTTGCAGTGTTCTTGCTTTCAATCTTCCAGCATTATAGTGAAAATTCTGCCCTTAACAGGGAGTTAAAATCCCTTTGAACTTGCAGAAGGAATCTGATAATATCATGGCCATGGTTTGTGGGGAGGATGATGTTTGGGAAAGAAAATGGGTCCTGGAGTCTAGAGCACAAGATGTTACCTGCAGGGTTTATGTGTGATCAGAATCACACTGTCTGCAGTTCACAGGATATAAATGGAAAACAAATGTAGCATAGATGATAAGCCAACAGAGTCTGTATTTTGTATGAACATTAGGTGTATACTTCTTGACCTTGCTTCAACCTAACCTACGGTGGGCTGAGACCGGCCTGCATAGCAATCATAGCTATTCCTGGAAGCTTCACCTAAAACCCGAGTAAGTTAGCAGCAGTTTACAAGCAAGCCACCTGGTTTCTGAACTATATTTAGCATCTCTGTAGCATAATACAGAGGTATGGAGGTGGAAAGCAAGTTTGAGTTGAATGTGAGCAAGAATGATCGCAGAGATGTTTTCACAGGGGGAAGAAATGCTTTGTTGTTCAAACGAAGCTTGTGCATTCTCAGTCAGCAGAGGGAGATTGTCACGGCGCTTACTGGACCTTCAGCAGCAAATGGAGAAAGCATTAGAGCTGCTAAGAGACAGCAAGGCTGGTAAGGCTCAGCTTTCTGCTTTAAGGTCAGCAGCTCTTGGTACGCATCAGGAGGCTTGTTATAGCCATGAGATGGCACTGTTGCTTATGTAGTTGGGATCTGCTGGCATGAAGCCGGATGTCCCTGGGGACTTGAGCTTTATTTTTTTTTATACCCCTGATCCGGGTGTTAATCTAGGTCACACGTTGTTCCACAGTGACTAAAAGAACTCAGGATAACTTTGGAGTTATGCATTCTTGGGCCTCGCTTTCCTGAAGTGAGTCTGGCCAGCTCTGTGTTAAGAGTAAGCAGGGCTGCAGAGGAAGTAGATGTTGAATCCTAACCAAATCCAGATATAGTTGTGTAAGATGCAGAGATGACTGAGTTTATTACATGACTCATGGCAGGCTGGGGACTGGCCAGTAGGATGAATTTTTTCATATTCTGTTTTATAGATGAAGCTATCAGAATGCTCCTGAAGTGTCAAATGGATGCTAGAAACTTCTTGTCACCAGAGCATTTGCTGATGGGAGAGCTGGAGGACCATCTGGCACAGATCTATGCTGCTCTTGGTACGGCATTGTCTTCTCACTCATAATCATCTTCAGTTTTCTGAACTGAGGATTTAATTTGGCTAGTGTTTTCCCTGACTAGCTTTTTTACTTTTCTACTACTCCATTTCTCTAGTTTTGACAGCAGAGCTCTCAGAAAGACTGCTTTTGCCAAAATTACATTCTTAGCAAGCAATGACCAATAATGTGATCTCACGTTCTTGTCATGTTTCCTTGTCCTGGTTCAGAGAATAGCAGCCTCCCAAGAATACTGTAGACACAGTTCACCACGTTTTGCATAATGCTGTCAAACACTTTGTATGACAGTAGCTGTAAAAAGTAATTATTTATAGTTCTGTTTGTTTGTTTATTTTTCCATTAGGAAAGTGGCAGGAAGCAGCCAGACACTTGGAGAGGAGCATTCAGCTTGTGGAAATGCATCATGGGCCATCTAGTGTAGAAATGGGTCATGAACTTTTCAAACTGGCACAAATTCTCTTCAATGGGTAAATTTGCTTTCATTCTCTCTCCCATCCCTGCGCCTCATGTGTGTCCAACACAGCACTGTGGCAGTTGGTCCTTGGCATGTTGCAAGGCCCTGGGCAGTTTGGTCCAGGTACAAAAGTTGTCCACTACTCAACTGCAAGTCAATAGAACCCAACGGGGTTCACTTACGCCTTATGATTCTCTTTGGACCCATTCCTCAGCCTTTTATCTGTCTACTCTTTCTATTCTCTGACTCTGTTTATTCCCTGTCCTATTTTATTCTGAGAACTAGTCACCCCTGGTGTTTGCATTTCAATTGAACAATGTTGTTGACATCTTTTCAGATAAAGAAATAAAATCTTGCTCTATTTTGGCCCTCCAGTTAATCTCCAGATTACTGCAAATCTTCTGACAACACATCCCTTCAACTGTCTGAATTTTAGCATGAGCTACAGTGCAGAAGAAGTGGGTACATATACTCAAAGATAATGTTTTAACTTTTTATCCATTTCCTATCCTTATTCATTATTTTTGCCCATCCTCCCTTTGCAGCTGAAACACTTCCTACTTTTCCTGTTGCTGAAGGGTGGTGGAGGGTGGGATTGATAGCCATGAGCAGGGTGAGGTCTCTTGGGGAGAAGGTTTGAAGTTTGTGCAACTTGAGGGAGCTGAATTCATTATTTTGTATACACTTTCCCTATTTCAGATTGGCAGTTTCTGAAGCTCTGAGCACAATTCAAAGAGCAGAGGAGATTTTATCAGTGCACTGTGGTCCGCAGAGTACTCAGATCCAGGAACTACAAGAGATGAAGACCTGTCTGTTAGAGCTTCCCAGAAGCATCCTTCAGAGGACTTAATTTCCCTATCAAAGGAAGATTCAATGTGATCTTTCATCAAAGCTAAGTTTCGTGTGGTAAGGTTGTCATGTAGTACAAGCTGGAAAATTGTGTGTAACGATAACTCAAGTGAAATCCAAGATGCTCTTTAGAGATACAATTGTAAATAAAATGACCGGTTCTAACATGAGGGGTCTGCGTGTGCTATAGTGGAAATAGATGCTGCTGTAGGATTTCTGCATGTGGGTGAAGCAAATGCTTGAGATGCTTATGTGTATGTGTGTTTCTAGAGATATGAACCTCCCGTGTTGGTATTTTGTTGGTCATGAACGTTCAGTCATCCAGACCAAAGTGCCTTTTTCTTCTAATGACGCACTTCCATTCTTGTCAGCACGAAACATAAATGGTTGGGATGGATGAGGCAGCTGGCTGGGAAGTGCAAACTCACGAGCTGTAAGAGAGGACACTGCAGAACTTGGAGGGCTACCAGAGCAGATCCAGCAGTGATTAACAACTGGCTTCGGCTTGGTGGATGTGTTAGGGGAAAATGCAGTATACACTAGAGTAATGTCTGTATATAGGAGAGAACTGCACTGGGGATCCATCTAGGGAAAATGGGAGTGTGAAGGTATGTGACATAGACAGGAGAGTCTTTCAAGGGAGAATACAGGGGCTTGTGGAGAGTAATAGCAAAAGCTCTTTTATTGCAGCATAAAGGCATAAGATTTGCAAGTTGTGTCTTTGTGCAGCAGAGCAGGGAGCCAATATCTCTCCCAGTACCATCCTTTCCACTCAAGCACTACCACTGCAGATTACTGTGAAGGGATCTAAACACTTCTGGGGTCCAGGATTTTGCCAATGAAGAGGAGGGTTCCAGTGGTATCATCTCGCAGCACAAGAAGAAATGGTCTGTCCACATGATACTCTATGGGGAAGGTCAGACGAGCAGCATTCACCCCAGGAGTTGGTGTGGATTTTTCCCCATCTTCATTAAGCTCCAAAACTGCCTTGTGTTGCACATGAGATAGCTTAATAGGTTTGGCAGAAATCTTAGTAAAGTCAGGTGATGTGAAAAGTGACTGGAGCCCTGGAGGAAAGAAAGAAAGAAAATTCCATTAACTAAAAGCAGGTGGGAAAGCAGCACTGCTAATGCTGTGATCCAGGAGGACATGGCTGTTCAGGCAGAGGTAACAGAGAGAAGCTTACATCTGTTTGTACTGTGCTTCTCCCTCTTAATCTCAGAAACACTGTATGAGCTTGGTGGAAATATCTGATAAAAAGCTGAGGAGTCCTGGACTGAAGTGGTTTAGTTGTTGCTAAATCTGTACAGACTGAGAGTGGTACCAAACTAATAACCCACCAGCATCATATTCCCTTGTGAGCAGGAAGCAACTTGCCTACTGCTTTCAGACCTGACAGTCTGTAGAGAGAATGTGATGTACATACTTGTCTCCTTTAAAGTGTTGCCAAGTGCCTCTTCGTAGTTCAGCTTCAGTTTGGGCAAGCTTAGCACAGCATGCACTGTCTTCAGCTCCCTGTCTACATCGTGAACAAACTCAGAAGTGAGGCTTTCCTCAATCAGAGTCATATTCTGGGTCACCTTCGTAGGCAGGAAGAACATGGCGCTGACTCCTTCTGTCAGTGGCAGCTGGGCAATCTGGAAGACCAGTTATAAATAAGAAAGGGACATAAAACCCATGGACCAGTGCACCTTCTTTGAACTCATACTACAGCAAAAGATTTGTTTGAAACAAGCACAGATTGAAAAGTTGTGTGTCCTGCCCCTCTTGCCCAGCTTTAAGCAGACCAAAACAGGCTAGTAGGATCTGTGCACTGTTTAAATTCTGCACTGGTTATCACCTAGCCAATGTAACAGCAGAAAGGATATTCTAAGAATCAACAAACTGCCTCTCAAAATAGGGACTGCAAAACTAGCCTGATGGGTGGAGCGATGCTGCCTTGTGGAATGGCTTAACAGCTAAGTGTGGCTGAGCCTGTTCCTCAGTAGGTTTGGATCTTGTGCAATATTTGCTGTCTGACCTTGCAGTTGAGCTCTGAGTCAAAACCGTATCGCAGTATGGCTTTGGGGTCTGACATCATGGACACTTTCACAGTTCTGTCCTCATCCAGATGGAAGTCGTTCAGGACAGTCCTCTTGGTGTCAAACTTGGTTTTCCAAGTCCCTGTTTTTTTTTGAAAAGATAAAATGAAAGATTTTCTGGAATGTTGAATTATATTATTCAATTGTATGCGGCTGAGAAATGCTGTACTTTATGTATGATGTAGTATTTGTTCTTTAAAAGTTGAGGCACGAGTGAATGATAGAGATGGAAGTAGGCTGATTGAGCTTATTGATTTACTGCCGTTCTTAGGCCCCTCCTTTTCATCTGAGAATTGACTAAATGGGAAATAAAAAAAATCAAGCCAGTGTATGGGTGGAGTAGCTGTTGGGAAGTTGATGTCTACTTATGTAATGACAAAACTATTTTAAAGGATAACAATTGTGTCAATGCACAGAAAGCACTCCTCTCTCCACCTTTGTTTTGCTCCTTGTCTCTAAGCAATAATTCTCTGGGACACTGGATTGTGTAGGTGCTGGCTTGGAGTGTGTTCTAGAACATCCCTCCAGTATTTCCCTACATGCCTTCCACAGCGACAGTAAGGCTCAGCACAGCCTTTAACCTCTGCCTTCCCTAAATGTTAATGCTCTATCTTTTGCCGTTGAGTTTTGCAAGCTTAAGCTTTCTTCTCTGGTCTGTTACTGCAAACAGGTCAAGATTCAGCTTCCCAAGAGTAATAATTCCTCAGCTGACGACTAGTTCTGCTCAGGTAGCATGAATATTTTTCTTGCTTATTAAACGTGTGCTCAATCACTTTCTTACATTCGGTACCTTGGCACTTTATTTTCACTGTTGGCAGTGAAGTCGTTCCTTCACATATCTTCTAATGTGTGCTTAACAGACCTCTGGAACAAAGTGCACACCTTACCCTTGAAGTAGGCAGCCCCAGCAAGGAGAATACTGACATCTGTGGGCATGTCTTTCATGAACCGCAGAATCCTCCCCCTCGTCTGCTGCCGTACCCAGTTGTTGACTTCCTGGAGGTCTAACTGGGTGTTGCCACTTAATGCCCTCAAACGCATTTTGTAGGACTTCTCTAGCTGGCTGTGGAAAGTAGATTTCACCCTCAGTCCTGGGAAACAAAAGGATGGATGTTGCAGTTAATTAGCGCCCTTGTGAAAACGATGTCAAGGCAGCAAATTGCAGTCTGAAGCTCAGCAGCAGTTCTCTCAAAAGACATCTGTGGCTGTGAGTATGCTGAAACCTGCCATCAAAAGGAATGACTGACAGTGCAAGGAAGAAACTGAACCAAATCCTAAAACCATCCATGCTGGAGTATGGAACAACTCTCTACTAAAAAGTGAAGAAGAGAGAGATGAACAGAAGGCTTGGGTACAGCTATTCCTGCATCAATCTTCTTTCTCTAGCTTTCTGTATGAGCACAGCTTACTCAACCTATTAGATTTTGGTTTCAAAAGATAGCTGCTAGTTTTTTTTCAGATGTTGACTGCATATCTCAAATATTTCTGCAAGGAACTAAACTCAGAATACTGGCTGAATGCTGTCACCAAATAGGACAATGTAATTTGTGATTCCTGTTAGCAGCATCTGCTAGGAAACCAGAATCCTTATAGTGAGTTTCTTCTAGGTCTTGTGCGTGCTAGCTGCTCTCACCAGTATCTTTTGGTGCATGTTTGGTCTTCTCATTTATTTGCATGTCCACAAACTTTCCAAGGCTTTATCTGAAGCAGGAGTGCATTCCATGCACACTGCCTGTGTTGTGGCTCGTTATATCAGAGCCAAGCTGTTTGTGTAGTGTTACTTGTTCAGTGTTTTCTACCTGCTGCTAGTTATGTAGGTAAATTCTAAGAGAGGGAAAGGACTTTTACTTTTCTCCACGATGATACGGGAGGCACTTTTCAGGCTCTTCTCTGGCCCAGTCACACTGGCCAGTAGGTCCTTGTAGGTGTTGTAGACCTCAGCTTTGTTAAGTAGATCATAGAAGAGGGCACGAGAAATCACATCTTCTGTTCGTTCTCCAGCCCCTGCCAACAAGAAGGACAACAGTATAAAGGATAAAAGTATAAAAGGCCTGTCAAATCAAACAGCATGTGAGGAAAAGGGGCAGGAACTCACCAAGTGAGAGACCAGAGAGAGCAGTAGCCAGGCTGAATGGAGACAGCAGCACGTTGGCAGTGGCTGTCCGGCTGGACTGCTGGCGGTACAGGTCATAGCCAAAGTTGGAGACTGCAGCTGCCAGCTTGTTAACAGGGGTCTTGTAGAATGGATCTTCCTCCTCAACCTCACCAACAGTTCCATCAGTGGTCGGAGAGTTCTAGCAAGTACAGGGAGCACTGTGTTTAGACTTGAAGTTCTTTGCAAGAACAGGTACAGTTACTTTAAGCATTTCAAAGGCAAACAATCTGTGGATACTCTCCTGTAATCCACACAAATATTAGCTTGATCTTACTGATACAGAGAGACTGCAGGAATAGTGACTTCACTTTAAAGTGTCCCAATAAAGCTGGAGGTGGTGCTCAGGTTGGAATCCACTGTGTGTGCCTCACAGTCATCTCCTGATGTCAGCACTGTGGCTTTAACTACGTAAAGCAGTAGTTAGTCTCATTATGTTGCTAAATGAAAACCTAGTTAATTTAGGAGGAGGGTGCTTAATCCTTCCTTAAGACTTTCTAAAATTAAATAATCTCCTTCAAGTATCTCTCCCTCATTCTCTGTTGCTGTCTTCTACTTACCTGCCCAGTAGGTGAGTTCTGGGATTTACTTGGGATCGTTAGAAGACCCAGGAGAAGGAGAATCGCTGGAATCTGCATGCCTGAACCTACAGAGTAAGAACATGGCAGTTAGTTTGAGTAACACTGAGAGGAATGCATCTCCACCACTGCTGACTGCTGTATCTCGCTGTGACGGGAGCTGTGATGACATGCTGCTGCTTGTCCTTCTTGATTGTGAAATGCACACCTGATTTTTGCTGGGTTTTCTTCTCCTCTAGCTTGAACTATTCAGCCAGCCTTGGCTCTGAGGACTTCAAAACTGGGCAAGCACTCATGCCTGGGTGTGTCTAAACACATAAGCAGATGTGTGTGGCCCAAACCACACTGATGCTG